TCTTCTTCTTCTTCTTCTTCTTCTTCTTCTTCTTCTTCTTCTTCTTCTTCTTCTTCTTCTTCTTCTTCTTCTTCTTCCCCTTCCCCTTCCCCTTCTTCCCCTTCTCCCTCCTATGATGTACTCTGCTCCAATAATCTATATTTCATAGACTATATAGGTCAGATTCATTTGAAAACAGAACTAAAGTACTATAATTTCCTATTTGACCTATTATTTTGTTCTTCCTATCACCTTTCTAATTCTCATTTTTTAATCAGAAAAAAATTGCATTTTATCACCTAAACCTGTTTGTGTCTGTGTGTTTTTACACGTGTGCAACACACACTCAAACACACAGCACTTTTAGAAAGGTTGCACCTTCTGACAAAACAACAGAGATGAGAAAATTGGAAACTACATCAGAAAGGGCCACAAAGTCTCTTGTGAAAATGGGGGTGGAGTGGGGGGAATGCTTCAGTTTGACTGAACATAGCTTTGTTGTTGTTTTTTTGACAGGAAGGAACAAGGGTAAAGACTGGAGCTTTTTGGCTTTTGCCTTGTTATAACTGAAACCCTCACTTCTTTCTTTTTTTCTTAACAATCGTACATACTGTGTGGAAGACAAAAATGGATGCTCTTTTATTGTTACAGTTAGGATTCTTTTACAGTTAAGCAGCAATGTTGTGTAGATCAAAAATTCTCTCTCTCTCTCTCCCTCTCTCTCTCCCTCTCCCTCTCTCTCTCTCTCCCAAATGGTAATCAAATTATGAGGAATAAAGGGAGCCTAAATTGCAGTAATTTCTCATTTACTGCTGAAAGAGATGTTTCTCAGCATCAGTTGAAAAAGATGAGCAATCCTTAGGAAAGTGGTTAAACACACACACACACAAACCTCTCTTATGGACAATGTAGATCAATAAAAGCATACAAATGCTTCCACAATTAGAATAATGGAGACAAGCACTGATTTCTGACTATACCAACTTTATAGTTTGCCTTGAAAGTTGATTTCTTATTTGTAAACAATGTCTAAGATTCATAAGCATTCCACATTTCAATCCTTAAAGATCCAGCTGCTATGATCATAAAATACTTCTTGCATCATCATGCAGAAAGAGTGGAATGGGTTTGGAGAACATCTGAACTCATCATTTTAGTTAGAAGTCAAGAAGAGTGAGGTTCAGAGTACTCTCTGTATCATTGCCTTCAAGAAGGCTATAAGGGAGGGTAAGGGCCAAATGCTTTTGTAAACATTTAAGCCTCTATAAATATTTTATATTTATTTTTACTTTTAATTCTTCTAATCACTCTCTTTTCTCCTTCAATCTGCTCCTCCATTTTTCCAATTTACTTTCTCCTTTGAATTTTCTATTTTTTTTTAGCAAGGGAGCATGTTCTAATTTGGTCATTCATTGGCTGTAGTACATCTATTTATATTAGCATTAATTCAAACTGTTTGTCAGCCAAAATTATTTCCAGAAATTCTGGAGAATAGACTGAGTGGACCAGACCTAGAGAATGATATTGGGAATTCAGAACGGAGAAAATCTACTCATCTCTAGAGGTAAAGCCAAGTCAAAAGCCTTCCCCTTTTGCCACTACTTCAATGATAGAATTGGAATCAAAAGATATACTTGTGCCAGGAGGTGAAATCTGGCATTGGATCCTTGAAGAGTATACTGTACTTTCCAAATGTAATGTTAATTCCATTGGTAGCTAGAATTTGCATCCTTGATATATCATTTAGCTTATGCAGGCATTTTAATGGCAACAAAGAATCTGTGAACATTTTCTTAAATGGCTAGTGCTAATAAATAAAAACCTGTGCAGTAGCCTTCTAGAAATATCTCTGGCATATGCATTTTTTTCTGCATATTACTTCATTAACCTCTATTGAAAGCCTGTTCCAAAGTACTGGCACTGCCATAGAAAGGCATGATCATTGTTTTTCAGCCCCTTGAAAATCTAAAGAACTGCGGGGTTACTAAAAATGTCTCTCTAGTTATCCTAACTTGAGCTTCTTTTTACATTTGCCATATTCTCTTATATTAAAGAGTTTTAATAGATTTTACAAATGTTTCCCCTTCCCCTCCCCTCCCTCCGCCCCAGCCCTGCCCCTCCTCCAACCCTCCCTCTCCCCAACCTCCCAGAGCAAAATACAGGGTATAAACATTTAACAATCATACACTAACATAAGCTAATTAACTTTAGCATCCTACCTCCTGTTGTACTTTAACTCCCCTTTTATTAAGCTAACTTTAGATAAATTGTAACATTCCTTGTTCATTCATTCATANCTCCTGCAGTTAAGCCCTAAGCAGAGTCATCCACTGGCAGCAACTACCTCAGCCTTTTTCCTTTTAATTTTTTTTTCTTTCCATGATGACAGTGGTGAAGCCCTGCCTCCCCTGCCTCCTCTGACTGCACATTCCTGTCTACACACACACACACACACACGATAAGTAACTGAAACATTGAAGCTCATGTATTATTAAAATGGGTCAATTAGCATTAATACATTTCTATGGAAATGGATTTGAACTAATAATATTAGGAGCAAATGGTTGGTTTAAGGTTTAAGAAATACATACATAACCACTTGGTTATGAAGTAATCTCAGCCTAATCCTTTTCTTTCAATTTAACCTACCTTACAAGGTTGCAGTGAAGATAAAGGGAGCGTGCTGAAAAACTATGTATCTATATTACCCTGAATTTCTGGAAGCATCAGTGGAATAAATTTAAAAAACATTCAATAAATAACGGGTTGTAAGGGAAATGACTATTACCATGTACTTTATTTGTATTATCTTCTCACACAGTTGTTTTTTATTTTCTCGGTAATGGTTTCAGGACATTAGTGTTAGTTTCTTAGACCAATGAATGTTTGGAACATGTATTTTAAACTTACATTAATATCCAGTTAGGGTTATATTTGTTTTTGCTTTTTCAGGCTATCAGAAGGTTTGAGGAATGTTGTGAAGCCCAGCAGCTTTGGAAGCAGTTCCATCACATGTGCTACTGGGAACTGATGTGGTGCTTCACATATAAACGACAGTGGAAGATGGCATATTTCTATGCAGATCTGCTTAGCAAAGAGAATACCTGGTCAAAGGTGAGTTAAAAACAATGATGCGAGCAGGATTACAGATGGGTCTTGACTTAAAATCATTTGTTTAGCAACTGTTTGAAGTTACAATGACATTGAAAAAAGTGATTTACAACCAGTCCTCACAACCATTGTAATATCCCCATAGTGATCTGATCAGAATTCAGGCACATGTGTTTTTGACGGTTGTAGCATCCAGGGGTCATGTGATCACTATTGCAACATTCCTAGCAAGCTACCTACAAGAAGCAAAGTCAATGGGGGAAGTTGGATTTGTTTAACCACCACATGATTCACTTAACAACTATAGTGATTTGCATAGTAATAACTATGTAAAAAATTGTCTCAAGTATCTGTAGTTGACAAAAATCAATGCACGTTTGCTCACAAAATCATATCACCGATAATAAATGTATTCCGGAACATCTTTAAAGTAGTTTTGACTGACTTCTGCAGAATAAAAATAACATAAAATTACTTCTGGACTGGAGGGCAATTTAGGAATGTACTGTTGACTTTATCATAGAGTAGTGGTTAATTTTCCTTTTTAATTAATACAAAATAGTATTTGCAATTTAAATGGGAACATTCAGTTTGCTTTATAGCAATGCTTTCTAATACATAACATATAAGTAGTCCTCAACTTATAACCATTCGTTTAGTAGCCACTCAAAGATAAAACAGCACTAATAAAAGGGAGTAGTGACTGTTTTTCACACTTATGACTGTTGTAGCATCCCCGTAGTCACGTGATCAAAATTCAGATGCTTAGCAACTGCAATGTATTTATGATGGTTGCAGTGTCTTGGGGTCATGTGTTCCCCTTTGGAGATCTTCTGATGAACAAAATCAATGAGGAAGCTAGATTCACTTAACAACCATATTACTAACTTCACAACTGCAGTGATACACTTAACAACTGTGGCAAGAAAAGTTGCAAAATAGTGCAAAACTCACTTAACAACTGCTTTGCTTAATAACAGAAATTTTGAACTCAACTGTGGTCGCAATTCGAGGACTACCCAAATGTCTTAATATGATGTGTGAATCCAATCAGTGAATGGATAGTTAAAAAATTATTTTTATTCCCATGAACAGTACAGTTGATCATTGTCTTCCCACAAATATAAATGCGTTGTTTTCTTAGATTTGAGAAATCTGAATTCAAATTTCCAGTCGAGAGTATTTTCTTTGCTGTGCAACTACATGCGATTACTTCAGTGTTAAAGTGATCAAATAAGCCACATAAATTAAATTTGAATCCTCCCTGGCATAAATCTTAAAACTGGCTATATAGGAATTACATTTTACTATTTTCTAGGGGTTTTTAGTTTCCCCTTTTAAAAATAGCAAGCCTATTATGATTTCTTTAAATTAGCTGTCAAGGCCTGCAAGCCATCTTTTCTTTTGGACTCAGGCCTGCCACCCTTTCTATTATTATACTATGCAGTTTCTATTGTGGGGAAATGGGAGAGGGGATTCTACAGAGTTGTATGATATGTAGCCATAACAAAATTATTTATAGAAAGCCAAGGTCATCCTTTGTCTCTGTACCTCTGCACCTGACTGAAACTGGATGGGTGTAAGGTGCCAGCATGACAATGGAAGATTGGACCATATGATGGACTTGTGGGTGTGGGGTCAAGATCTTGAACTTTCAACGGGTGGGAAAACCAGGATGCTTTCAGATTCGGGTTTTCCCAGATGTGCCAACATGGCTCTCTTAATAAATTGGAACTTTGAGGAATCCTTTGCCTCGGACTCTGATTTAATTTTGGATGCTATTTGGAACCCTGACACTAGCCCTCCACCACATGGTCCAATCTTNGGAAAGTTGGAGGGGGGCGAAAGAAAGGGTGTATGGAGGGTCGAAGAGGTACATTAAAAAAAAAATGATTTGGAAGGAACCATAATTTCTAAGGGAGCCAAGCTAGAAACCCAGAGACTGTGAGTTCTAATCCTGCCTCAGACACAAGGCCAGGTGGGTTACTTTGGGCTACTCATTCTCTTTGAGCCCCAGGAAGAAGGCAATAGCAATCACTTCCGAAAGTGTTGCCAAGATGGTGTGTCCAGGTAGTTACCAGGAGCCAAGTGTGACTTGAAAGCATGCACACAAAAGTAAAATAACCAAGTACAGTTGGTTAGTACAGTTGGTCAGTTACAAGAGTGATGTAAAAGTAAGTTTGTGACCAATGTCCACATTTACGATGTTCACAGGGTCTTTTTCTCTGTCATGTGTTCATCATTAGCCAGTACCTGACCCATTTTTTTCTCTACCCCCACCTCTGGAGAGCAGAGGTGACATAAGCAAGCTATCTCTTCCTGAGCTGCTGTTCTCTGCAGCAGTACCACAAGTTAACAAGCTCAGCTCTGTGACCTTACTTAGTTTAGCTGGCTGAAAGCTACTGCCTGAAATTGATGAGAGCGCCAGGTTGGTCTAGTGGTTAAGGCACCAAGCTAGAAACTGTTAGTTCTAGTCTAACCTTAGGCATAAAAGCCATGTGCATGACTTCAGGCCAGTCACTCTGTCTCAGCCCAACTCACCTCACAGGGTGGCTGTTATTGGGAAAATAGGAGGAAGGAGTATTACGTACTTTCACTGCCATGTGTTACTTATAAAATAATAAAGGTGGGATAAAAACCAAATAAATAATTAAACCCCCCGTTTTACACTAATGAGACGCAGGTACACTGTGCAAAAAGCTGGCACTAGCACATTCCTTTTAATGTGTGTTCCCCATTGAGTTTATGCTTACTCTCTTATAATTCCTTCCTCTACAATAATTGCATCTATAAACATTAATTATCTTCTGGCTAATTATCCCAGTGTCACAGTGAGCATTCCAAAGGGTAGGGGAGCAAGGGAAAGGTCTAGGACAATTGGCCGCAGTCATATGACCCCAGCCACTTCATCGCGGGCCCCCACCACAGCCGACCCATTGCGGCCCCAGCTCCCCTGCCACACAGCCATGTCCGCCCATCCCCACCACAGCCATAGCCTCCATGCCCTAGGCATCCCTCCCCCTCTGCCCCTCCCCTGCTTGTCTCCTGCTGCCTCACACCAGGAGATTCACTGTGGGACAAAACTCCCCAGACACCATCCTGTGCGTGACAATTAACTGAACGGGATAACTCACCAAATGCCAGTGGCATCTGTCCCAGTAACCAATATGCATGCCACCATCCCCTCCCCAACCACCAAAGGGCTGGTGGAAATGGGAGGTGTCCTTCCACGCAATGTCCCTGTAGTGCTGCTGCGGCAGAGCACACCACACATGGGGTGGCAGGTAGCAGCTACCTGGCCTACCATGATGGGGGAGGCTCTGCTTTGGCAGTAATGCAGAGCTTATGGAGGGCTCTCAACCTCCCCCGCCCCCCCAAGCAGTCAGGGGATAATAGTGCAAAGCTGTGTCAAGAGAGGCCACCAAAGCACACCTTGTGGGGCAGTTCCTTGACATCACACCCCCACCCCAATTCAGCATGGCTCTCCCCCATTCAGCAAAGGGGGATGATAAGGGAGGAGCTCATAATACAGCCAAGCCACCTTCGGCACTGACAGCTGCTCTCACCCTGCCCAATTCTCTGTGATTTTGAGCCAATTCTATCCTTCCATATGGAGGACCCAGATTGTTGGGGGCAATATGCTGACTCTCTGTAAACCGCTTAGAGAGGCCTGAAAGGCCTATGAAGCGGTATATAAGTCTACTGCTANTAAATACCATAATACACAATATAAATTGGAACTTTGATGAATCCTTTGCCTCGGACTCTGATTTATTTTTGGATGCTATTTGGAACCCTGACACCTGGTCCTTCTCTTCACTAGACTAGCCATGCCCAGTTCCTGAAACCATCCATCATAGGTTTTAGTCTCCCGTCCTCTCATCATCCTAGTTGATCTTCTCTGCACTCTTTCCAGAGTCTTAACATCTTTTTTATATTGTGTATTATGGTATTTAAAAATGGATGGAGCTCCACTCTGAGAAATAACCGTCCATCCTATTGACTCATTAAGGAAATGTCTTTCTAGAATGAGGAAAGGTTGAGTATGTCTAACATGGAGCACTTGAGCAATTAAGGAAAGTCCAATGCAAGATTGACCTACTGGCTCTGTTAGCCACGGACATATATCTAAAAAAAAAAATAGTTTCCATCAGCATAAATCTCCAATCTTTCTCCCTCCCCATTAGCAGTTACCCTTTATGGACAATAAAGAAAGCATTTGGAAATAACTATTTTTTTTAGTTGGGTCAAACGGAAGCAGGGTGGGTTGTGTTTGATCTGTATTTATGAGGTCGTAAATCTGAACCAGACTTATCTCATATGCATGTGGTGTTTTATGGAAACGGAGAGTGATTATTGCCAAGGTCTTTTCTGGGAAACATTAAAGAACTCTTTGACTTGGAGCATGAGAGTCCCAATCCCTTCAAAACCTGCAAACGAATTTTCCCATGTTTTTTGCCGAATCTATAGCACAGGGGATTTATTTACTTATTGGGTAAATTTATACAATTGGCACCCATCCCCTTCGAATAATTCCTGCAATAGGAAGAGACATTTGGCCCGATTTATTTGTACAGGTAGTTGTTCTGACCCGGCTCTCCAAACGCAACAAATTCCTTTATTAGGAATGCCAGCAGCCTCGGCAAAAAGTTCCTCTCTCACCGGAGGCTAACAACTCTGTCCTGCAGAGAGATGAATAGTTGTCTGCCACATCTATTCATCTCTGCCCCCTGCCTTTTTCCCCCAGAGCTAGGATGGGGCTTCGCTAGCCATGGTGGTTCTTCCATCCCAAGGACTGGCCCATAGATTTCCACTGCTCTCCTCTCCTCTGTTTTCTGTGCATCTGTATGTCAGGCACTGAGCCAGATGTTCCTCCTCTTCCTCATCAGCCACTTCCAGACCTGGGGGCCGTTGATTCCATCTGAGGGATGACAGACCCCCCCCCTCCTCTCTCTCTCCCTCCTCCTCTTCCTCCTCCTCCTCTGATTCGGCTGCTGAAGGGGCCGGCAGCTGACAGGCCACAACAGTAGTCCTCAACTTACAACAGTTTATTTAGTGACCGTTCAAAGTTACAATGGCACTGAAAAAAATGGACTGAGGGCCATTTTTCGCACTTTGCCATATCCCTATGGTCGCGTGATCAAGATTCTTCCCTAGGGAATCAGCTGTCACCAGTCTGACAGCACCATGGTGTCAAATGTGTGTTTTAGAGAGTTTTGTTGGGGTTTTGTGAAACCCTCAGAGGAGTTCTCGCATGCACGTGTGCATCCCCACCAGCGGTGGGTTGCACATTTCGTTACCACTGGTTTGCCACGCACGTGCCTGCCTGCTTTGTGTGCACACTTGCGCAAAGTGGGCGCATGTGTGCCTTCCCCACATGGGCCCAGCCTTCCACGCATGCGCTTTGCTCACACGCACACTTTCCACACATGTGCCTAGCCTTAAAAATGTTCCTAAATAGGACGGCATTGAGCCGGGGCGGGTATGGAGGTCCACGTGCGATTTCCGTTACTGGTTCGGGAGAACAGGTTCAAATCAGCTGAATACCATCTTTGATCCCCACCCTTGGAAGTAAAATAGCAAGGGCTCAAAGCATATGGCTAAGTCTCGATTCAGCTCACCAACAGTGAATCTGTTTGTCTATCCCAGGAGTCAGCAAACTGTGGCTCTGGAGCTGCATGTGGCTCTTTCCTCCCTCTGCTGCGGCTCCATCACCGGTCGGCGCCACAATTTTGAGGGGAGCTTCCGGTGGGGGGGGGGAAGGGGGAGAGAAGCACAGTGCACCAGGAGAAGACTCTATGGCAAGGGGAGGGTTTTCCAATTGTCTCCACAATTGATAGGGCTTTTGGTTATGATAGGTAGAGGAAAAAGTATGCTGCGCTAGGAGGAGACTCTATGGTGGGGGAACTGAACTTCCGGTCAGCTCCAGAATTGAACAGGGGGCTTCCGGTTAGGACCTTTGTGGCTCCCGGTGTTTTCTTTTCTGTGGGAAACAGTCCAAATGGCTCTTGAAGTGTTTAAGATTGCCGACCCCTGGTCTATCCTATTCCACTCATTAAAAAAAAAATATGATTCAGATCACTCTGGACATTCAAATCAATTTGGCAAAAAATATGTGTCAAGGCTGACCCGTAATGCAGCTCTCTACTCACAACTAGACAATGGAAACGAAGAGAGGAGGGAAAGGAATGCTTTGAAGGTATTGGGAACTGGAAGGGAGGTGAGGATTTTTTTTTTTTTTTTTTTGTGAGCCCATTTGCTCACAAAATCCTGATACTTCAAGGATTGGTGCGATGGGAACCTTCCGAAGGTGCAGACGGTTTTCCCAAAATAAAAGGAACGTGTTGGATTGATGGACAATGGGGGTGCCTGTATCTAGAGGTACAAGAAAGTCAAAAGACAAAACTATTAGTAATGATATGGAGGTGCCAACTGACAATTGCAATTATTGTAACATTTAATAGCCATAGCACTTAGACTTATATGCTGCTTCACAGTGCTTTCCAGCCCCCTCTAAGCGTTTACAGCCTCTTGCCCCCAAAAATCTGGGTCCTCATTTTACCTACCTCAGAAAGATGGAAGGCTGAGTCATCCTTGAGCCAGTCAGGATCAAACTTCTGGCAGTCGGCAGTTAGTCTGCAATACTGCTTTCTAACCACTCTGCACCATGGGTGGATGGATGCAAGGAAGGAAGGAAGGAAGGAAGGAAGGAAGGAAGGAAGGAAGGAAGGAAGGAAGGAAGGAAGGAAGGAAGGGGGGGAATAGCAATAGCGATAGCACTTCATAGTACTATTGATGCCCCCATCAGTCTGGGTTCTCATTTTACCCACCTTGGAAGGACAGAAGGCTGAGTCAACCTTGAGCCTTGTGAGATTGGAACTGCCAAATTGCAGGCAGCCAGCAGTCGGCAGAAGTAGCCTGCAGTACTGCACTCTAACCACTGCACCACCTAATCATTTTGAGTGGCTACTCATGTTCATGACTTGTAGAAGGACATCAGGAATCTTCTCACCAGAGAGACAAAATAGGTTTCTGACAGTTGTATGCGGAGTGCCAGATGACACCAAGGTACCTTCTAAGACTATGTTGTTTCTAAATCTCAACGCTTAGGGGACATCTAGATGAGAAGAACCCGAGAAGGTTCGGAGTATATGTATTTATGAAAGAGAAATTTACTCGGGACTATGAAAATGTTCATTTTACTCCTGCTGCAGAAGACCCGCTTGTTGTTGTTAGTTGTGAAGTCATGTCGACCCATTGTGACCCCATGGACAATGTTCCTTTAGGTCTTCCTGTCCTCTACCATCCTCTGGAGTCCATTGAAGCTCGGTGACTCCATCCAGCCACCTCCTTCTCTGTCGTCCCCTTCTTCTTCTTCTTTTGCCCTCAGTCTTTCCCAGCATGAGGTTCTTCTCCAGGGAGTCCTTCCTTCTCATTGGCCAATGTCTTTAAGTTTCCTCTTCAGGATCTGGCCTTCTAAAGAGCAGCCAGGGTTGATCTCCTCTAGGACTGACTGGTTGGATCGCCTTGTGGTCCAAGGGACTTGCAGGAGTCTTCTCCAGCACCAGAGTTCAAAGGCCTCCTTTCATGGGTGCTCAGCCTTTCTTA